AGGCATCATACTGGGTTGTTACTCAGTACTGAATTAGTAGCTTATTGTAAAGTGCCATCATAAATAAAGTTTCTTCATTCCCAATACTGATGCCAATGCCAGAACTTGTGTATCAAATAAATATACCAAATATCAATTAATTTCCAGTACATTCCAAAAGTCAAGTCATTATTTAACAGCAGTAGACCTACATGGAAAGACAGAAACCCCCTAACATTGAAGCCAACTCTACAGACAGTTCTTCTTCACTAATACAAAAATGTACTGGTCTATGGTAGCAAAAGTCATAGTGGAAACATCATGCCGTGTGAGCTGCTGTCCTGATTGGAGCAGAGAAGAGGAAGCAAAACAAGTTGACTTTTCGCTAATAAAATAGCATTTTAGGTGATATTAGTTAGACCAACTCTTGTGACAACATTGTTAGTTCTTTGTTTGTCCAATTACAGGGTGAAGAATCTGAAGGTGGCCATTCCAAAATCCTTAACAGTGATTGGCTATTTGCCTTGTCAGAGGCAGGACTAAAGATATTTGGGTTGTGTTAGAGGCTGCTCGTAGCTTTCTTTACATTTTCCTTTTGTCAGTACTTCCAATTGATATTTTAGAAATACAACTTCTTTCTGAGCCCTTAAAAATTAAGCTCAGAAAATGTATTTGTTGCCACTCTGTTGAGTTACTTTTCAAAGTCATTTAATTTGTATGCAGAAATGTAATATATTTTAGATGCTTATGTAAGATAAATATAATCAGTGCAGGTAGGTGTCCACATAAAACCAGTTTGGCCTACCTGGTCAAGAAAATCTAGCTGCGCCACAGTCCCAATAATCACGGTTTAATGTTGATTTAATTTTCATTTCATAATACAATGTTCTCCAACTATACACCATGTTGAGTTGTATAGTAGAGCAGACAGCTGCTCTGTTGTCTTTCGCAAAGGATTCTTCTACAGCTGTGTCTGAGCTTTCAAAGATGACAGGGAAGGTTCTTTGTGTTTCTGATTCACAGGAACCTAAAACTGCTCTGCAAATGAAGACAGATCTGTGTTTCTGCCACCATTTTTATAGAATCTGCATCCAGCTCAGTTTAGAGATGTGGAGCAGTAAGGGTAAAAGGACTTGAGCTTGTATATCGCTAACCACGCATACACTGCTGGCAGAGGCTGCTGTGTAAAGTGTCCATCAGAAGTAACATTCACACTCCACAGACAAAGCAGCAGGACATGTGGCTTCAGGAGCTGGGGATCGAACCTGACCTTCTGGTTGAGATACGACCGATCCTACCAACTGAGCCACAGCCTGCCTCCAGCAGTCACTTATTCTCTGTGCTCCCCTCTATAAGTAAGTGAAAATGTATTTATATAGCACTTTTAAAACACTGTTACAAAGTGCTTCACAAATTAAAGCAATCAAACAATTCATGTTAAACAAGGCAAAATTAAGATCAGGAAACCACAAAAAAAGAAACACAAAAAAAATGACTAACTTATTCCACTCTACAATATTGTAGATTTCCTCCAAATATGAAAACTCATCATTATCAGGCATGTCTTTAGTTGTTCAGTCCTCTCCAAATGGACATTGCTCCATAACACATAGTGTAGTGGTGACATGCTGCAGTGGTTGGACAACACTAAGGTAATGTTTGTAAGTCTGCTCAGTACAAGTTTGGTCAGCCTTGATTAAAAAAATGTTTACAGAAGGATTCATCACACAGCTGATCTAACACTTTTAACATTAAATCATATTTTAACATTCAATCAAATGAAGGCCTGTGTAATATAGAAACAAGCAAATACTTCAGTTGTTTAGTGTGTTTTTTAAAGCAACTAAAAGAGACAGGCCTGTTTAATGACGTTAGGGTAAAATGAATTGAAATGTGTACATAACAAGGTGAAGTTATGTCAGCTTTTGTACTGTTTAAAACATAACTATGTACCCACAGGCCTATGTACTAAAATACATTTTGTGTCGGATAAAGGTTGGTATCTTAAATTCAATCTTTAAGATTACAAGACTAAAGACATTTTTTATGCACAGACTTAACAGTTAACTTATCAGACAGAGGTGTACATTGACTGATCGCATTAATGATGGCTGCATTCCATTCCTCAGTCAGTGCTTTATAGTGTACATCATGCTGCCTCTCAGGACTCAAACAGACCTCTACATGGGACAGGGGGTCATTAGTTACTTCTGATACTACCTCTAGTATTATGAGGACAAAAAAAGGATGAAAACAAGAGGGCGCCATTCCTCCACTGAAAACCAGGCGGGGGGGTTTCCCTCCAGACAAGGTAAGCATCCCCTCAATGCTCTGAACTGCAGGGGCGCACCACCAGCAGGCGTGCCAAAAATGAAGCGAGGAAAAAAGCCGTAGTCTGACATTTTCTCCAGGGTGTCCGCCGCAGGGAACCCAGCGCCGGGAGCCCCGGGCTTTCAACACAGGGACCACAGAGGCTTGTTATGCAGACAAAATCAGCAGACTTATCAAAGTGCAACAACTCTAAAGGACCGAGGAGAGCTCCCCGCCTGAATCCCATCTGACAGCAAGTGAGTGTGTTGCCGGTTGTTGGTGCTGCTTTCTTTCATCCTGTCTTTAACGCAGTCCAGTCTCTCCCAGTGGTAATTGGAGAGATGATCGACATAGATCAGTGGCTGGCTTGCGGGGTTCCTTTATTTCACACAAATGCGTCTAGATTGGCCCCTTTGTGCCAAAGTGCGTGAACATGGGCGATATTGTCTCTGTGTTAAAACGATTCAATACTGTATGTGTTTCATAAACGCATGGCTGACTGAACAATAACTTAGTTTCCTGTCGTGTTAGGCCTACACTGAACTTAAAACTCTTCTGTGCATTGCATTCAAGAAAAAAAATATTTGGATCAAAATACTGAATGCCTGCTGTTATTGTTATAATTCTTCTTTCTCAAACGTCTCTGTGTAAACACGAGCATTTGAATAGAGAACACAGGAAAGTTAATAATAAAAGTGTGTCCAAAGAGCCTTTTCCAGAGGGGTTTTAGTTCATCCTAAACGAGAAAAAAAATTAACAGGAAAATACTGAGAAATTACAAGAACAAATGATCAGTTATAAAACTAATTTAGATTCATGTTAACCCTAGGAACACATTATTTTATGGTCTGATTAACCTGAGAAAATCTTTAACACAGAAGAGAGAGATTACCATTCAGAGTCTGTCAGAGAATTAAAAAGTTAAAGTAATTGTAGAAGAGACAAAAAATGAGTAATAACAAGAAAAAGAGGCTAATGGCAGGTAGATGTATTAAAAGTATTTGAGGAGAAACTGTGTCAGTGTTCCTCGTGTTAATCCTCTATACACTGAACAATAACTCGTCATTTACCCTGGCTCGAGTTTAATTTAATTTAATTGATTAATTTTATGAATTTAGCCCATTTTTGATGAAGCTGGCACCACTTTTCCCTCTGGTGTTTAAAGCAATTAATTGGCACTATCGTATTCATTGTTTGTGCCCCAGTGCTCCGCTGACTGGCTGCAGGTGTGCTCTCAAACACGAGCAGGAATGAGGTTAAAGCTAATTATTTAAAAATGATCCACGGGTTTGAACACGATTTAAACGGTCTTTGTTTGATACGAATTACTGGAATAAAAGGACCAAAGCGCAGCTCGATCCCGGGCCGAGCCGAGCCGGGCTGGGCCGGGCTGTTCACCCCAGTGGATGGTACAGTAAATACAGGAGGAATGTTGATCAGCTTACAGAGGTACTCGGAGTTTGATCGGCCGTGATGCTTGTATTATGAGCCAGCGGACCGGAAGTTAGGCTGCACCTGCAATAACACGAAGCAACACGGCGCGGGCACCTAAAAATGAAGGGATAATGAAAAGCGAATTGAGGCCGTCCTCTCGGTTCTGCTGCTCTTGTTTAACATATAGAACATGTGTTTTTCTATGAGCATTTACAACATTTATACTTCTGGGGCTTAGATGTGCTCGATCAAGACCTTTTCCAAAACTAAAACAATTAGAGCCTCAATAAAGTTAAATCCCTTGTTATTTTTCAAACTACTTTGCCATGATGGATTTCAATATTAATGGAAGTCTGAATAAAGTTGTTTATATATAACTGTTTTTTATTCAAAATTCTCTGTGGCACTGAGAGCACTGACCTCTCCGGTGCGCTTTTACGCACACAACCCCCGGCATCTATACAACATTACAAACATTTAACACCACACAGAACATAAAGGGGTATAGCCATATGAATGTAGTTAATGGGTTAATATATTTGTGTCATGGCAGGGGGCGCAGGGCCACGTTTTCTGTCACAAAACGATCCTCTCCATCCATCCACACACCCACAAACACGGACAGAATGCAAAACCCTGAATCATAACTATGATTTATATAATTTCATATTAGTGTTATCATTACATATTCATGAAAACATCTAAATCCATTATTTCTGCAGCCTTAGTTGACGCACAGGCACACGCTAATAAATCCAACATGTGCCGGACTATTATTAGGATTAATAAATTATAAGATTCAGCATCTGCCTCTTGTTTCTGCGGGCCCCGGAGCCCAGCCAGCTCTACTCTGTTCCAACAGGTTCAACGTTGTGTTCTCATTACGACCTCCATATGGCTGCCTGTGAACACAGCGAGCCATGGGGCATTTAGAGCAGGCAGCACAGTGAGAATCAGTCCGTAAAGCGGCGGAGGTATTTGTTGTAAAAGTGAAACCAGTTGTGTTGTTTGAGGGGAAATGCCTTGAACCAAGTGGTAGTTTGCGTAAGTATTTATTTTCCTTTGCGCTTTTTGGCTGAGCAACTTCACTTTGCGCATCACCAAATGACATTAAAATATGAGCTCAAGTTGACAAAAGGCACAGTGAGCTTTTGGATAGAATCTCTCTCTCTCCCTGCCTCTCGCTCTAGCTCTGTCTCTCTTTCCCTCTCGCGCATTCACGGTTGGGGAAATCTGGGTTTGATTTTAATGGGGAGTAGCCTACCCGGGGCACGCTTTACAACCTTTGGATGTACTGGACGGTTCTCAGTTGGTGTGAGCTGCGGGCGCGGATGGGTGCAGGAGTCCATCTCCTCTTGCTGTTGCCTCACTTTTGTCTCAAAGCGTTTTTCTTTCCCTTAAACATCTCAACGAGACGAGTGCTAGACACGAGACACTTCTCGGCGTTTTTAAAGGACAATTTCTGACTAAAGAGAATCTAAAAGCTGATTTGTGTGGATGTCAGGGGTCGTCCTATCAGATTCGCAGACGCAACAATCGCGACTTAACACGGGGTAAGTTTGAAACTTGTGGACCACTGTGGCCGTTGAGTTTTTAATTCAGTGTTTTTTGAGTGGATGGCAGATTTCCATTTTACGCACCACTTCTCTTAAAAGAGCGAGTGACTCAGGGGGTGTTCATTACCTGCCATTTGTTTTAAATCAAGACAATGACTGTCATTACTTGATTATAGGCTGTGGTCGCGATGTCAGGGGGGATCAGAGAGGCGGACACCACAGGCAGGTGTCACCCTCCTCGGTTTACAACTGGCTAAAAGAGAAAGAAAAACAACCCGCACTGAGGATTTAATACAGGGTACAAGAGGTGAGCTATGAAGCCAGTGAGCTTTTAAACGCGACTTGAGAGCCACAGCCAAGCGCGGATGCCAAAGCAAGCAGCGCGCTGCTCGGTTCTCGTCTTCCTCGCCACTGAACTCGCCAAGTCTCCCAATGCGTTTGTCACTTCTAACATTTTCCTTTTCCTGTGCCCTGTCACCACGTGCGCATACGAGTGTAAAACAAAATATTTGTTTCATCTCTGAAGTTTGATGTTAATGGATTCTTTAGAGGAATAATGAGAACACTGTCAGTCCTTTCCACGTTACGTCTGTGTGCGTTATTGAGGATTAAAGTGAGAAGCTTAATGTGACACTGTTGCTCATTGTTGCTAAGGTGTGACAGGAAACAATAAGACGAGCTCCTCCCTCTTTCAGCTCATCCTCTCCCTGCTCACAAGCAGCAACAAGCCTGGAAGCGAAAGTAAGAGTCCCATACAGGTTGCTTATCTTAACTGCTCCAATAGACTTAAAGTATGCCCCTATCGCACCCTGAAACAGTGTCACTGTCAGCCACTTGACCTTCTTCTCACTCTCACCACCAATGACTGGAAACAGTCCATGAAGAAGGCCTCTGAATCCTCTGCGTTCACTGAGGTCAGAGAGAATCTAAGGAGAGTGAACTGAAGACACGTTTGAGTTTAAGGAATCTGCTGAAGTGTGGTGGTGTTCATCTGGAGCGGGGACACAGTTTCCCTGTTTTTGCAAATTAATCACCATTATTTAATTGCATCACACCCCGCTTCCATCAATAACAGAGTGAGGGAGGTACAGCCAGGGGCTGAAGGCACATGATGTGGAAGCTAATCCAAAGCAACATAGTGCAGATTGTAGTCACTCTCTGGAGAGCGTGCTCACTTGTAGTGAAAAGCAGAAAAGGATTGAGATGGAGAAAGCTGTGGAAGAATGTTCTTCTTCTGCTTTAAACAGCATTCCTCACATCTCCTGGCTTTGTCAATCTGAATACGTAAAGTTTTCTGTTTTTACTGGGTGTAACCATCCATTCCCTCTTTGGGTCAATCTTTTGTTATCATTTCTTAATCTTTTGTTATTTTGAACAAATGATGTTAAGTAGATTTAAAAAAGAAAAGAAAAAGAAGCTCAACCCTGAAGTCAGAGAACCGACTAATTGCCTTTCATATTACAGCTGTTTGTCAAAGCTGTAACATTGGGCTCTTGCACCTAACTTCACACCTAAAATGACTTCCTATTTTATGAATGGTTATAAATGTAATTAGATGACATCCCCTCTCCTCACTTCAGAGCAGAGAGTGAAGACAAAGTGTTGTCTGACCACTCACTTAAGCAGCCGTGTGTTTTCTTTTTGTGTGTGTGTTTACCTTTCCTGTTAAAATACCTGCATGACACCCAAGATGTCTCTCACTGTGGGAAGCTCATCCAGGGGCTCACATGCTTCATCCTGCCACTCCCTGCACCCTGCCAGGCTCGCATGTGTCAGCCACACATTTCCTCCAGATGCAAAGGGATGTGTGTGTGTGTGTGTGTGTGTGTGTGTGTGTGTGTGTGTGTGTGTGTGTGTGTGTGTGTGTGTGTGTGTGTGTGTATGTGAGGTCCACGTATGTGTCCATGCCCAATGAATACCTATCGCTATGCTTTTATTTCTTCAATACAAAAAGGAGACATCCGTCATATTCATGTTGAACTCGGAGTTATCAGACAAAATTGTAACCAAAATCATCCATTTACTATCTACAGTATCTGTGATCATTTATCAATAGACAGACAATGAGTTGATGTATTATCGGCTCGCTCAGTTCTGTTCAAGGTGAAAGAACATATGAGCAAAATGTGAAAAGTAATACAATCATCAACACGTCAGTTATATCAATATGTAAGAATTATAAATGTGTCAGAGTCCATGAAGTTCCCTAAACCTTGACAAAGTATTCTTTTTGATCTAAATCACAAGTTTTGTTTCCTACAGTAAAAAAACCCACTTTTTTTTATTTTTGGGCTTTTTATGCCTTTAATGGATAGATAGGACAGTGGATCGAGTCGGAAATCAGGGAGAGAGAGAGAGTGGGGAATGACAGGGTTAAGCGGGAAAGAGGCCACAGGTGGGATGTGAGCCCAGGCCGCCCGCTTCAGACGACAGCCTCCATACATGGGGCGCATGCACTAACCACTGCGCCACCAGCGCCCCAAAAAAAGAACTTATTTAAACCAAAGTCACAGATTTTTCTTTACACTAGACTGAGGCTTTTTGGATGCAGCACCCAAAAGGGCACGATGGGATATGCTGTTGAGTTCTCCTTTCATTCATTTTAGCTACATTCTCACATTTTAATATGAAATGAATGGAAGGACATGGTTTTGTTTAGCTGCGTCTTTGTGCACAGAGCAGTGCAGAAGCGGAGTGTAAACTTTGCTAACTGACTCTCTAAATGACACATTTAGCCGTGAAGATGGTTGAGAAGTGCTTCACCCTGAGAAGCTTTACTTTAGATCTGATGATTGCTCTGCTGCTCCCTGTGATAGCTGTCAGTGAAATCAGCTAAATGACGGTACAACCTGACAGTTTGAGGCTTTCACAACGTTAAAAAAGTCTATTGTGATTAACTCTGCAGCTGACTGATCTGTTAGCACACCAGCAGCTCGTATGTGCAGGGACTGTATAACTAAATTGAGCTCTCTCTCCGGTTGTGATGAAATCTGATGTACGTATAGACACAACAAAGATGGTAGACTGCAGTCAGGAAGGGTTCTTTCAATCAAGATGTTAAGATGGTCGAGGGCCATGTGGCCAGTGATTGACAGACGTCACTATCCAACCCTAATTAGTCCTTAACTTGGACTCTTTTGAAGTTGTTTAAACAACATTTAAGACATGAAGGTTTCTTCTCTGTTTAACTCTGAGACTGTTGATCTTTAGGCACATTATGGTGGAGGGAGAATTGGTAAGTGATAGGGAGAAAAGGGAGTTGTCTGATGACTCAGAATCTTTGGCATCCTTTACATTCATGTGTGATTAAACTGTTCCTCTTCCAGAGAGCAGAATGTTTGTCCATCAACAACGTGTGTGTTTTTAAGTATAGTGTACAGAACCCTGCGAGTATTCAGAGCACTTAATAAAATGATTTGTGTTTTTTTTCCTTCTGAGTTCAAAGTGGGTCGTTGCTTTCAGCTGTGGGGTAGAGGTTGCTCTTGTGCAATGGAAAAAAAGTGACTGTTTTCCTGTTAGGGGGGCTTTTTTTTTGTTGGGAAAACCGCAACTCTGCCTACCGCAGCCAGCCTTCAAAGGGTTTTAAAAGAGTGCTCACCTCACCTCTCCTTAAATCCTTTCCATCTCTCCAAACAAGCTACTTCCTCTCACATCCAGGTACGCCTCACCTGCCTCTCCCTGACCACTGCTGTCCAACCACACAGCTGCTAGGCATGCATCAGGGTTACGCTGGAGTCCATGGGAATGTTCAATCAAGAAGCCTGCAGTCCACTTTGGCAACCTTAACCTCAGCTTTTTATCTTTGTCTTTATCTTCTGCCTAATGCTGCTGCATGGTCATCATCCAGTGACAGACTTTGAGAGGGAATCCGCTCACCCATCCCAGGGTCGGGGTGTCTTCCCTTTTTCTCAGGCTCATCTTGACAGCACATGTAGGGGAATCATTCTTGTATTTGAAAGCAGATCACAGTTTGACATAGGAAGCTATAAATTGTTGAACTCTAATCCCTTCCCTCTTAAGTCCATCTCTATGTCAGTAAAAAATCTCAGACAGAGCACAACTTTATCCTCCCTCCTTCTACAGTTCATTTGTGGATAAGTTACTGTGGACCAAGCTTTTAGGAGCCCCAAAGTAGCTGCTTCTTGTTATTTTCAGTGACACCACAAAACAATCCCTTTATCCTAAAATGACTTTCAAATGGAAAATATTCTTGGGGGCTTCTTTTGTTTCAAGATTATCTTTTTCAGAATTATTATTGAACCATTGCTGTTTCATAATTTTTGAAGAAATGTTATCTCTAAACTTTAACTTTACATTTTAGCTAAATAAGTTCAAACAAATCACTTCTTCTTCGAATCTTTATGTGTGTGTCTCTTGCCCCTCGCAGATGAACCCTGTTTAACCCTAAGTCTATGTGAGTCACTTTTGCCCTTAACTTTCTGCCTGCTCATGTCCTTCCCCTCCCTACGCCTTCTCATTTTCTCACCAAACACACTGACCTCACAGAAGACTTCATTAACAGAAAAACACCCCACAATTTGTCCCATCAGCATTTCTCTCTTGCTTTTGTCTACAAGTGCATTAACATGGAGTGCAAGTAGCTTAGCACAACTTCCTGCCTGTGAATCTGTGAGAACCGGCCTGACCTCATATTCCACCTCGCGCTGTCTGTCTTCTCTCCTCCTGGTCGGTTCTGGATCAGGTTCGGTTGATTTAAAGAACCGCTGTAGGACTCAGGGCCAGCCGTGTGGGCTGGGCAACAGAAGCTGCTGCATTCCTCCACTGGGCGTTCTGTCTTTCTCCCGCCAGTGTCTCTTTCTGCCAGATGCAAAGATGGAAAGGTAGTGATTCATTCACAAATGTGTTTTATGGTGCACTTTTCAGGCTCTTGTGGCTGTGGCTCAGTTGGTAGAGTTGTCGCCTCTCAACCGGAAGGTCGAGGGTTCGATCCCTAGTTGAGCAACATGTCCGATGTGTCCTTGGGCAAGACACTTGTGACACTCTGAATTGCTCCCGCTGCTTCAGTGGTGGTGTATGAATGGGATTTGTTACTTCTGATGGATGATACTACATAGTGCTCACTACCATCAGTGTGTGAATGTGTAGGTGTGACCTGCAGTGTAAAAGCCCTTTGAGTAGTCGGAAGACTACAAAAGTGCTTTATAAGCTCAAGTCCATTTACTATTTGTTTCACCTTACAAACAACTGAGAGCCTGCACGTCAGATTCTACCATTAGTAACCCAGTAACTAGTTCAGGTGCAGCAGTTTGTTCTTGTAATTATACACAGGTGAATGTGTACAGTTTTGTTGTACTTAGATTAAAAAAAATTTGAAACCATGGAAACTTTATAGACACAACCTTTCTGACTCACAGGAAGCCTCTGAGCAGACATAGGCAAGCTTTAAAAATTTGTCAGTGATCCCCCTTACTAATGACGCTCTCAGCTGTGAGAGTTGACCCCCTCCTGCCCTCGGCCCTCCCTGCTCCCCCTCCCCTCCTTCTCAATCTCTAATGAATGCCAGCAAGAAACTGAAGAGTAGCCTACACCCCCTCGCACACAAACACACACCCTCACGTGCATGCTTGCATAAACAGCAGGATCGTCATCACCAGTGCAGAGACAGCTATCATCAAGTAGAATTCACCAATGTGACCCCTGTTACCTGAGGCCTGTCAGTCATGTTGATTCATCTGGACATGTTTGTTAACCTATTCAATAAATATGTGAAAGATTGTAAGGTTATTAATTCCAAAGAGGCAATTACATAATCAATTGATTCAGTCTATTGAAATTCAGTTTTCACAAAAAATAGATTTGTTGTTTTACATTTTAAAGTCATGTATTTGACAAACATGTCATATCGGTTTATTTCACTTTCTCAAACTCTGCAATCTGTGTACAGGAGGATCTGTGACTTTGTTGCTGCTCACGCTGTTCTTTTATATTCACACACTTCATTTCTCCATAATGATAATGAGAGTGGAGGTGGCCCTGTTGTTAGCCAATTAAAAAGTCCTCTACGGTTCTGGGCAGCCACTAATAACCCCACCAGGGATTACAGTACAGCAGGCTGCAGGGACAGCAGGACACCCGTTTGGGCCTCAGCTTGCTGTCATCCCAGAGCAGTAACCCAGTAGACCACCATTCACTCCCAATCTTAGAGGGGCCACAGCGCCAGCTCTCTAGAGCAGCGTGAAAGGCTCCCACAAAGTGGCTCAGCTGTCCCTCTACTAGCTCCACCTCCCACCGCGCCCTCCTCTGCACCAAAACCAAATAAAGCCTCTCAGCAACTTCTGTTTTCCTAATCTGTGAACTCTGACAGAGGCGCCCACGCTTGAAAGAGAGACAACTCAACATGGGATGATCTCCCGGTGACAGGGAGAAGCTGAAAAAACGTTGCTGAACCAAGACCACCCTGTTGTCTTCCTGTTTCTGTCTCCTTCTCTTTCTTTCTCTCTTTGTCTTTCCCTCTGTTGCTTATCTTTCTTTTTCGTTTAATTTCTCTTCACCTCCATCATCCACCTTCTCTAATTGGACTGTCACCGTTTTATTCAAATCATTAAATCCTTTCCGATTGGCCTGAGTAATCCCAACTTTTTATACAGGGTGCTCCCACTCTGAAAGCCTCATCATTTTATTCTTACTGTGCCCATAACACTAATGGACAATTTATTTAACACTGCAGTAGCAAGGCCACCAGGGATTGTTGCACGACAGCACAAGTAAATTTTCCTTGCCATTAATCCAAGGAGGAATGTTGCCGTGATGAATCGGCTATGCAGTTAGTATTTGTCTCTGCACTCCAAGCAGCAATTCACTTGGAAATGGCTTTGCTGCCACAGGAGCCGTTTGTCTTCTAACACACCAGATGGTGGTAGGTGTGTGTGCTGGGGGGTCAGGTTCAACTTTGGATCTGCACTCTGTGAAAATAATAACAATAGTGTAGCAAATACCACGGACACAACTCTATCTGTATGCTTTATATGAAACTTCAGAAAGCAGAATTTCAGTGTAGCGTTCATTGTCTTCTTCCCATGAGACTCAGACATTGGCCTACAGCTGTTGCTACTTCAACCACATTTAATGAAAGACAATGTCTTCCTCCACCGAGGAGAACTTGTGGCTTGTTAAGCACAGTGTCAGTGCTGAAGGCAGAGGACTTTCTCGCTTAAACAGATTGTAATATTTTTAAAGGTCAGCCAGCTACATCACAGCGCTGACATCCTGGCAATGATTACTGATCCAAAAGGATTATGTGGAACTCGCATTTTGTAGTTTTCATAGCAATAAGGAATAAGTCACAGGTATTTAATAAAGACCAGCTATTTACAAGATCCTAGCTTTTCAGGGCTTTTTCATAGAACTGTTCACAGTTGCTCCAAGGCTAGCATCAATTTCAGAGGGCATAGAGTAGAATTAAAAAGTCGTGTCACTGTTCTCTCTCTGTTTAAGCTAAAGGCTCATCTGACAGACTCGCCTGACAGCACCAGACCCTGGAAAAATCTCCCAGCAGGCCTGGTAGCACACGGACCGCACCATATTTAGTCATCCAAAGTCCAGACACAGACCAATGCAGTCCTCCACCTTAATCTGTCTCCCCTCTGTTTCTCTCTCCATCCCTCTCATTTATAATGTCCTTCCTTCCACTCCCTCTTTCCATCTCTGTCACTCTCTCCCATTGCTTCCATTCATATCTGTCCTCGATCGTTCTCCCTCAAGTCATTTCTGCTTTATCACTGTCGAGCCCCCCTCTGTTCCTCTCCCCCTCACATGTCCCTTTCCCCTTCTTATACTGTAAATCAACTTTCTCTGTGCCTGTTCATCCTCATTTCTATTCTCTACAGCATATCACATATTTTTCAGCTTGGTTTTCATTTGTATAACTTTTCTAACTTGCTTTCAGTCCCTCAACAGCATGCCAATCAACTCACAGTAATCCCCTCTTTCCATCTTTTTTTCATGTTCCCTCACCTTTCAATTTCCAGCCCCTCTCTTCCTTACCACTTGGTTTCTCTCAAAGCCTCCCTGCTGTCTTTTTTCTCGGTTAAACATGCTGCTGATGGAAGCTTATCCTGGATGCTAATGAGTTGCTAATTCTATCAGTCGCCTGTCCATGCCCTCCCCAGTGGGTGTCAGGCCTGCCAGCTTTACCAGGGCCAGCCTTTTGATGGAGTGCCTTGGCTGATGAACTCCTGCCTGTGTGCACACTTTAACCTCATCGTCCTCAGACACATGATCAATGTCCCTATCTGTCCTGGCAAGGTCCACCCTACCTCCAATCATGAGCCAACCTGTTCTCTGCAATTTATTTTATGATGGAAATTGCAAAAGCAGGGTATTTAATAAGGTCTTCACATTTCTTAAAGTGGTGTCTTCGACCTCTATATTTCAGGGTACACAAATGTCTCTTTATTCCAAGTGTTGTTGGAAATGGACTCAAAAGAAGTGAATTTGGTGTAGTTTACTTGCTATTTATATGATTGACATAAGTTGCAGTTGTACTCCCACATCGGCCATATTTCTTCACTGGTTTCCTGCTCTGTGTAATTCCCTCAACCTATTTTCCTTTAGCACACAATCCTTACTTAAGGAGAGACCAAATGGCCGGGTTTAAGCACTTGAACACACACGAGTGGTCCTATTTACCAGGCCACTGGTCTCTTTACTTGGGGCTGCTAGCTTTAGACCTCTCACATAAGAAAAGAACCAAAGTCTTGTTTTTCCGACACCATTTAAATCTGTCTGTCTGCCTTTCCAGCTTGACTGAAGTGGATACAGAGGCACCCTTTTGTTCTACCAAGATGAAGAGGGATGCTGGAGTATAAGAGAGATGGCGGGGGGGGGGGGGGGTGTGGGTGTGATTCATGGTAATTTAATAAATACCTCCGAAAGAGGGTTGGGGTGCCTTCTCAACCCATCAGCTGTCTTAGAATAGGGCTCTTAAGATTTGACACCCAGTGAAGTAAAAAAGGGGATTAGCAAGAAAAGCCTCAGGCATACCTCTTTCTCTGTAGTTTTTATTTTTCTAAAGCTTTCTCCATGTGCCCCTCAATCTTTCTCTCCTAAGGACCAAGCGGCCCCCTTGCCTTACTGCGTTTGAATGATGTCATCCAGGTACCTATCTTGACAAAGAGATTTAAAAAGCCTTGAAAGGACTCTTATACCCTTAGTTCTTCTCATACAAAGTATAATCCTAAAAAGCTATCACTTCTGGGGAATTTTCTGGATCAGTGAATGGACACAAGGCTGCTTTCTCTCGAGTCAGCAATGTGTAACAATAGTGTTGCAACGGTTAATTTCCCTTTGAATTCCCACAGAAATCAGTATGATCTCAAATGCAGAGCCTTGTCCTTGTATACAAGATAGTTTCCTTTTCTTGCAGGACACACTCTTGAAGCAGTGGTTTGACCAGGGTCACACGCGGTCCACTGGTCTGCAGCATCGCCAGGGATTATAGGGTAACTTCTGCCATGCTGCTCGAGCATGACCAGGAGGCTTGGCCAGTTTTGACCTGAATGGAAGTACTGAATGGGAGGCAGGCATTGAAATTCAGGAAGCAGTCACTCAGAGCTACTAATGTCTCTCTTTAAATGGTCACATCCTTTTTACTTGGGGCCCCCCGTCTTACTGTCTTATTCTTTGACAGGATTTTACTCAATGAAAACATTAACTCATGATTGTACAGCTCAACAGATGACGAATGCAGACTTTTATTTAGTCTTGGCAGATGCACAAACATATTTTATATGATAGAATTCATTTGTTTTGTATATTAATATCATTTTATGGTTAAAGAAATATGTCTTTGGCATTGACTTTTTTTGTTCTCTCTCTTACAGGAAGGTCCAGTCTGAAGTGAGGGGTCACTGAGCTCAGACACTCTCCCTCTATTGACCCAAAACTACACTCACAGGGGATTATCAAAACACACACAGAAGAATCTCCACAACCACACATTCACATTTCACCCAAAAACTTTTGGGTACGCACACAGTCATCTGTGCATAAACACATACACACCTTCACACGCAGGCCCTCTGAGCAGGATGGGGGAACCCTGGAGGTGCCTGCTGGGCCTGTGCCTTCTGGCATGCTCAGCCTCCACCCACAGTGCCATCAATCCCTTCGCAGGACAGCAAACCCCTCCAGACCCTTGCTATGATGACACAGGTGCAGCCCGCCGCTGTATTCCCGAGTTTATAAACGCGGCCTTCGGCAAAGAGGTGATGGTGTCGAGCGTCTGCGGTCGACCGCCATCCCGCTCCTGTAGTGCGGTGGAGCGGGGCGATGATAGACCGTCTGTACGCACTTGCCAAATCTGTGATGCAGCTGACCCACGCCGTGCCCATCCTGCTTCCTACCTCACTGACCTCAACTCAGCCCACAACCTTACGTGCTGGCAGTCGGAGAATCTGAACACCTCGCCGTACAACGTGACTTTGACACTTTCACTAGGCAAAAAGTTTGAGATCACTTACGTCAGCCTACAGTTTTGTTCACCAAGACCTGAGTCTTTGGCCATTTACAAGAGCATGGACTACGGCAAGACCTGGATGCCCTACCAGTTCTACTCCTCACAATGCCGACGCATGTACAATAAGCCCAACAAAGCGACCATTACCAAGCAGAACGAGCAGGAGGCTCTGTGCACAGATGGACACACTGACCTCTACCCGCTTTCTGGAGGACTCATTGCCTTCAGTACTCTGGATGGACGACCCTCTGGCAAGGACTTTGACAACAGCCCAGTTCTCCAGGACTGGGTGACTGTCACAGATATCCGTGTGGTCTTCAGCCGGCCCCAGCTACCCCGGGAGCTGGCACTGGGGGCTGGAAGCAACAGCGGAGGGAGGGACGATGATCCAACAGCAGTGACATCAACTTTGCCAACTTATTTCTATGCAGTGGGAGACTTCCAGGTGGGCGGGAGGTGTAAATGCAATGGACACGGCTCACGCTGTGTGAAAGATAAAGAAGGCAAACTGGTGTGTGACTGCAAGCACAACACAGAGGGACCTGAATGCGACCGCTGTAAGCCCTTCCACTACGACCGGCCATGGCAGAGGGCCAACGCCCGCGAGGCCAATGAGTGTCTACGTAAGTTTTTTCCTCATATGTCATTTTTCATGTGCATTTAATATGTTTAACCTCGTCTGCTGATAGAATAACTGTATGATTTTTTAGGACAACAGATTTTTGATCACTCTTATTCTCAGTTTTTTCAAACCTCTCAGTTCCTCACCAGTTCCTTTGAATAAGGGAGGTATGTTTCCCCCCAAAATCTCCTCAGTACATCTTTGGTAAGAGGAATGGAGTAAGTGAATGGTTTGACAGAGGATTAAACCATATTTCACATCTCATCTTGTCATCTGATACAAACATGACATTTTAACTCAAGTGGCTGGCATGTTAGAACTCAGAAATATTTTAAGAACCTGGTTGTTTCTTTCTTTCTTGGACAGAATCATGACCTTTTCACCACCCTTTTCCAGGATATGAAGACAGCAATTAAAATGCAGGCCAACAAACTTAAAACACACACACACACACACACACACACACACACACACACACACACACACACACACACACACACACACACACACACACACACACACACACACACACACACACACACACTCACTCTGGGAAATAGAGGGGGGAGTGGAAAAGGAGATAACCATGTTGACCTGTGTTTGACTGTCATTGGGGTAATTAAGAATGTAGCCAGAACTCACCGGAATGGTTTGTGTTTATACAGGTGAGGAGTTCTGGTAGCACATAGTGGTTTAGCCCGCAACTTTGGCAGTGTCTCTTAAAACACAAGCACATTCTTTCCTTGCATTTCCCTTCAGCTCTTTCTATTTATTATTCCTTTACAGGGAAACATGCCTTCTTTCCATAAAATCATGTTTTCTGGACTTATCTATGAAAATGCTCTTCTCACAAGCAAGTCTAAACAGTGGATGACAACGACTCGAGTCATTGGCACACTGCTACTGCTAAGTCATCCAAGAATGTTATTTGGCAGTGTTTGCCTTTACCTCAGGACATGCTCTGTGAAAGTCATCCAGACATGCTCTGAAAGCTTGCCAATAAAAATTAAAGCAATTTCTGTAGCAGTGTTTGTTGATATAAATGGATTACCTTTTTATTGGATTAGGCTTTTATATGATAGCGGGGGTTTTGATGTGATATTCAGCACATTTAGTCATTCCATGGCTGTACATTACTAAGGTTTTCCACACATGCCATGGATTTTTGGCAGAAAGTGTTTCTCTCCTATGTGTATATTGGTTGTAATTTTGACATACATTTTTATTAGCATTAAGGGGTACTTAATTCAGGTCATTTTGCTTAGAATAAAAAATGGTTTGAGTATGGAAATAATCTCATATTAGAAACCACTGTCCCCGTTTTAACCTTTCTCCATAATGAAACAAAACTACACAGAAGAAAAAAACAGGAGCAAAACATAAAAAAATCATTGTATATTTTTCAAACATGCTATAACTGTCCAGTGAGCTGGCCTGAGTTCATATTTAGTATAGAACAGTGCCAGATCTGTTTTAAGGAGACAGAGAATGAGAATGACAGAGCCAGAGGAGTTTGGCCATTTTAGCATTAGCCTGGCAAACAAATCAAGGTTTCTCTGTACTCCTATACCTGCCAAGCCAGCACTACCTTACTTTGGCTTCTAATCTGTCCTTGACACCTTCAGTTACTCAAGTCATACAAGCACACACATATGCACCTAGCCCCTTCTAAAACAATATCCTGTTAATCCCTCAGTGAGTTCACGATCATACTTTAACACAAACTCTCTTTCAAATGTCCCGTAGCTGTTTCCGAAATGTTACACCCGCTTCCCGTACACCTCTTCTCAGTGGGACTGATATGTCACTTCTATCCACGATTCCTGGACTAAACAGCCCCGCTACTCTGGCCAACTCTGATGACCTAATCCCAGTGTTGATACACGGCAGTCAAAGCCTATTGCAAGTTGCACGCTATACCTGATCACACATCCGGACATGCCAAATGTCAGTCCCAGATGTCTCTAATTCCTTGTTCCAAAAGTCTTGCTTAGAGCTTATTCCAGTAGAATTTGTTCCAGAATATCCTCAAAGCAGCAAGAGGGGCTTTAAAATCCTCTCCAGTGTGTATTTAAGCCCATTCTTAAAATACTCCCACCCCTTGTTGATTTGCTTTTCTTTCTGACACAGTTTACAAATGGGGACGGGCTTGCATTGCGAGCCCTGAGGCACGCCGCTGTGATAGAGAGTAGTTAGTATTTAGACTAGGACTGTGTGCAAGAGTGGCAAGCTGCAGAGCCAAGGAGTCCCTTAGGCGTCACCAGAGCCTTCATGAGACCCTCTGGGTGTTTGGGTTGGATGTAGGGTCTGAGGGGCTGGGCTGAGGTCATGATCCTTTGTAAAGTGGTGACAAGGTTAAGTTGACAGGGAGATGGCTTGTGGGTAATGAGGAATTCAGCATGGGCAGATGTAGAGCCAAATCAATAGCAGTTTCACACCCAGCATCTGAGCCAGTCAGACAAATGATGTGCATGGAAGATTTAACCATGTTAGATTATTGTTGGGATGATTTGAAAGATTTTGTGAGTTTTCCCTGCACTTTGAGCAGCCTTAAATTAAAGCACCTGGAAAACCAAATGAACCCTTGACTTCTAATTATGAATTTCAAGTCTTATCAGCATAATAGTAAATGTCTTAAAATGTTTAAAATTAGTTTTAATCCTTATTTTGAAATATTGGTATGAAAACTTCTAAAAGCTTTCTGACATTTTGTTTGAATTGGTCGTTTTTGCTTGGATATTTAATATGAAAGTTCTGAAATTGATTCCAGGACCAAGTATAGGAATTGTTACACTGTTACACAGCACATCAGTTACAACCTAGCACTAGCATCATTTGCGATGCTTTTTAACAGCAATGTCTGAAGTTGAAAGCAGTTGATGTCAACTGTCAGCAGCAGTAGTTAAGCTCTGTATTAAATATCATAATGATTGCCATTATTAATCGCCTTCACTCATAGCTTTTGGAACAGAAAGAACATCTCAGCTAACATTTTATGTGAATGCTAACTGCTAACAATGATAAGGATAGGGCTAATGGTTTAAACAGCGAATTGTTCTGTGAACAGGGGTTTCTAAAAGTTAAAATGTATTTTGAAGGTGATTGATGATGAAATTATATTTATGCATTTTTACTAGATCAAGACAAATTTCAAGGGGCTTTAAATCAGCATAGGAATATTATTGTCTTGAAAAGTTTGATTTTTCGATTGTCTTTTCTAAATGTTTGCCATGCGTCGCACCAAGATTACTCTCTGCACTCTTGGCAAGCTCATGAACTGTCTCTAAACACAGCTTTGACCAACCACGTCCATCTGCCGCCTCCCTCTCCATGAATTCTGCCTCAAGACATCAGTTTACAAATCTGTGCTCTGACAGTCAGAGAGGGCAGCCTAGCATGTCTGTTTGTATTGAGAGAGACATGATGGAAAAAGCTGTGATTTATCTGCCTTCAGTTTAAGCCACAGGACAGAATGAGGAAACATATGGATAAAAAGTATTTAGTTACTGGTTGTGATGGAGTATTGGCCTTTCTGCTGGCATGGTCCATGCAATAATGTATATACTTCATTCTCACTTAAAAATGTGAGACAGTATATCATGCCATAATTGTGTCTGCCAAAGTCACTTTATTAGACAAAGAGGCTTCTTGTAGAATCAACTACAATGTGAAATGCTTAGTAGATGATAACTTATGGTAGTATTTGAGCTCTCTGGTCTGCAGCCATCTTGGCCTTGTTTGGTTGTGTCACCAAGCTATTTGATTCTTCAGCCCCTCATTTGGACGGGGCCTGCAGGAAGTCCAGAGTACTGCTCTGGGAGGCTACGAGCCCAGGGCTAGACACCATCCATCCCTAATGGACCAGCCGAGCCAAGTCTGTTCCCCGAGTTTGCCAAGCACAGTGGTATGCATTCATTGCATTAAATACAGAGGTCACTTGAAGGCCGTTAGCCATTTTAACTGATTTGCCAGAATTCCATTGAGCTGTGGTTGGAAGATGTGGGTGTTCCTGTTCTTTGGGTGTGGTGTTGTATATAGTGGCTAATGAGGGGTATGGTGTTAATCGCATGCATAATTTGCATAAGAAGGAGTTTCCTTTTAAATCATATCAATCAACCTTCATTTTTTACTCTCATTGTTCATTAGCCACCTGAAGGAAAGTCACAGACATTTGTCCTTGTCACAATCTAAATAAAACGTATTGTTGGGGCTTGTGGTTATTTGGTGCTTTTCCTGCATTTAGGGCAAATTATTGGCAGAAAAATTGGGGTATTTGACAAATGGGGGAGAGCAACATGATCTAGATGAGTTGAATGTGTTTATGTGTGTGGCAGCCAGGAACACAAGCTCTTTTTATATCTCATTCTCTCTTTAATCATTTTTCTTTCCAACAAGTGGCAGATGGTTGTATGTTTTTGCTAATTAGAATTTAAAAATAGGCCTCCATCCTTTCACACCAGCTCCCCCCACCCCTCCACATCCCCTTGCAAGAGCAAGTAGAGGTCAGGCCCATGTTTCAGAGCTAGAGCAGATTAGTGGAGGCACTTTTAGGCCTGGTTTTGAGAAAAGACTTCACACCACGGAGGACAATATGGCGCATGTCATTTGTAATTTTTGATTGAGTTTCTAAATTGTCACAAGTGGAACAGGATTTTGAGTGTTTTGTTTTTGCAAAACAATATTGTTTGCTGTTTGGTTACAAAGCTCACCTCACTATATTGTTTTGAATATACATATTGAAGACAGAAGTTTAGTCCTCTGGTCAGCTGAAATGAAGCTGTCTGTCCCTAGAGGGCAACATGATGTGAAGCTCAGCGAGATGCCAAATATAGAGTGGTGGGGATGAAAAAAGCCAGGGCTGCTGTAACATTACTGCATATATGTGCCATGTTTCTACTTACACTAATTGACTTAAAGACACTCCCACTCCTTCCACCTCTGCTGCCTGCCGCTGGAGGCTAATGGGGAACCAACACTTCAATTACTCACACAAATGAGCAG